GGGGGGGGGGGGCACCAGATTGCCAAGGCGGACAGGGATCCACGGCACTCAGTCGAAGCATCATAGGAGGCGAAGGTTGAACCTGATGGCTAGGGGAGCAGATGGTTCATGATCCTCAACCTTCCAGAGACTCTCTTCCGCCAAGCCATGCGAGGTTATGGTTCTGCATCAGTGGGTCGGTATGCATCGACAACGTCAACTGGCAGGCAATTCAGTTCTGGGTAGAAGAATTGATGGTATGCGCCACGCACTGTGTTATTATTATCACAGAATTTTACCCGTTTTGAAGGGTTGGGGTCCGGAAATTCCCCGAGAGTGCGGACGTGCCCATTGCCAGCATTTGTCACCGCAGAATCGCTGCCACATCAGGGACCACAGGTCTGAATCGGCCAAGAGACCTGTATAACTTCGTCTCAATTTTGAACTGGTGGTGATACATCTGAGTTTGGATGAGTGTTGCTATCGGGGACAAAAAAGGCCGAATTTTCGAGGATTGATTTTTTGCCCCTGGATCCATCCCGAAACCTTTTCGGCCCATTGTGAGTTACGACATGGGCCGCGACGGGTGCGGCAAAAGGAGTGGCCAAACGGGAGACGGTCGATGCTAAGCCCTGTTCGGACCGAGGATTAGGTACGGGAGACAGGGCCAGGAAGGTACGAGACGAGAAACAGCAGTAGCAGTAGTATCTAGCAGGAGGACCAGAGATAGTACACTTACTCAGTCGGGAGGCAGTCCCAAAGACAAGGTTGGAGCTGAGAAAGTGGAACTCGATGGACACCATCCGAGCCAATCAAGCAGGCAAATGCATTGTAGTGCGCATCCAGGAATCTTCAACGTGCGCTGATTTCTCCAACCTGTTTCGCTCCCCAGATGAGCGATGGCCAAGAGGAGGATCGACAGCGCACCATGGCATCTCCGCTGCCAAGTAGTGGTGGCTATAAAATGCCCAGAATATGGGAGAGGAAGCGAGCAGGAAGGTTTTTGCCAATACTATTAAGACTGCGGGAGACTTCTTGGGAGGTTCGGGAGTGGACAGTCAGAGAACTAAAGTCGATGGCAACCCAAAGAATGTAATGGAGAGGGGGGATCGGAAGTGGGCCCTGATCCATGCGGGTGACCCATGGATGGCAACAATGTAAAAAAACAGGCCCATATACAGCATAAATTGAGGTCACCGGTGAGGGCAAAAACTGAACCCATTCAACCAACTGGATGGGGGGTGGGGGGGAACAGACAGACAATTGGGAAGGAGAGGATGGAAAATGAAGAAGTTGATTGTGTTTGTGGGAAAGTGAAATTTGGGGGGGAAGGAGCGGAGGAAGACGGAAAGGCATCAGAGGAAATCCTGGCTGGGCATCCCTTGGCACGAGTTTCCTCCGGAACGTTTGACCAGATGAACCAGATAGTAGATAGTCCAGATAGATTAGACAGTTAGAGATAGAACTGATCTTCTTCTTACTCCTTCACAAAGTCAATCCCGATCCTTCCCTTCCGTCTCTTGGATGCTCTTGGCCGGATCGTCGCCAAGCATGGCTCAGCCATCTATCGAGATACTTGAGACTCGATAGATCGTTGATGAAACTATCTCGGCGTTCTTGTCCGCTGGCGATCCCCTTCTTGTCGCCTAATCCTCGAGTCGTCATTCCATTCTGTGACTTGACTCCCTTATCTCCTCGCCTACTTCGTGGTACTCCGAGACTCCTGGAAAATGTGATTGCCTACAACATGCCAAGCCAGTGGCGATGCACTTCCTCATTTTCCCCCCCTTAGAGTGCCTAGAGATGAAGCGCGAGTTTGATGGCCACTATCTACTAGGATTCCGTCAAGGCGACGACATCGGCTGCAGATGATGTCCAACGCCCAGCTCTTCACGGCAACCCGGATCGGCTTCTGGACCCCCTGCAGATGGACAATGGCCCGCAGTGACACGGCTAGAATTAGAACAACTACCCGATAACACAACAGGGAAAGTAAGACGAATGCTGCCCGCTGCAAGACACAGGTCAAATCTTAGGCAGGCGAAGAATCTGGAACTCGCTTCGCGCGGCTTGGATCAACATGCAGAAACGCTAAACATGCACATGCAACCTGTCCCAAGACAATACAATACGCTATCAGGATACCTCATTGCGACGCAAACTCGGCTGTGCTTGTTATTACGCATCCACGATGGAGCCAGGGTAATTCATAGCAAATAATCATTCAACATCATATACACAAAAGGAAATTCGTTGTTGGCAGTGGGAACGATGAGCGCATAAACTTTGAAACAGACTCCATACACTTATCTGTCATCCCGTACGCCAGGTCATGCATCTCATGCCATCTGTCGTGCGTTGTTGGTTCTGTCGTCGTGCGTATCTGGATATACATGTAGGAAGGATGGTTTGGAGTTTTCTTGGAAGAATCGTATCGAAAGAAAGAGAAGAAGAAACGAGTGGAGAGATCAGATGCAGTGCAAGGGCATTCACATCATCATCCGATACACCAGGTCCGAAGCAAGCTCGGTGGTGGTGTCCAGCAAGGCACGGAAGCCCCGCGCGGAAGGCTTCAATGGCTTGCCCGACGGAGATACAAGATCACTCTCTACTGGCGGAGAGTAGGCCGCCAAATCACGCACCTTGCAGGCAGCAAAGTGCACGACCAGCTTCCGTAGCTCGTTATCCCGCAACTGTGTAGCGGACGTGGGGGTGATCGGCTCCAGACGAGTAGTCTTGGTGTACGTGTAGTGCAGGAGATCAAGGACCTTTCTGGCCTTGGTGGTGTTGAGGCTATGCTGCTCCTCGTCCTCACTCTCGATGCTCGATTCCGCGAATCCCAGGTACAGCAGGTCGCGATGGAGCTTGCGGAGACAGAGCTGGGCCAGCGCAGGGATCAAGTATCGGGTCGCAAAGACGTACAGCTTGGCATGGAAGACCAGGTATGGCAGCTCAAACGGGGACCGAGCAGACATGACGCTTGGAGGCCTCGTCACGGAGCAAGAGCGGGGGTCGACGTAGTCGATGGCTGAGAACTCGTCCCAGAGACTGGTTCCTTTCTCGTTCATCCGGGAGTACTGCTGCCTGGCGAAGGAGGTGTCGATCATTGGACCCGTCTGTCGTCTGGCCGTGACTCCCTGGTGCTCTTTGGACTCTTCCCTCTCTTTCTGCTGTGTCTCTTCCTTCTGGTCTTTGTTGTCCTCTTTGCTGGGGGCGTCTCCCCCATCTTCTGGAGGCGTGGGCGCAGTGTGCTCCCAGCTCTCGGTGGGCGATGAGGCCGCAGCCGCAGTATCAGCTGGCTCCGGAGCAGGAGGTGCCTCTACAGTCTCAGGAGCTGGAGTGACATCCTCAGACACTGCGTTGGTTTCAGAAGCAGGATTGGCGGCCTCCTCTTCCGGCTTCGAGTTCGAGGGGGGTGGCGTGGATGGAGGTGTCAGGTTGGGCGCGGCTTCCTCTGCGGCCGCTCCCTTCTTCTTTTTCTTATCCTTCTTATTCTTTTTACCTTTCTTTCCCTTGGATGCATCATCTCCAATGGCGTCCCATCCATCGCCGTCATTCTGCTCCGCTGCGGGAGTTGGAGGAGGCTGCTCGCTTGCCTCTTTTGTCGCAGGTACTGGTTCTTGAGGCTCATCATCAGCAATGGCACACTCCCAGTCGTCATCCTTGCCCGGGAAACTGTGCTCCACTACAGCGGGCCTGTGCTCTTCGTCCGGACGACTCCACCCATCATCCAGAGACTTGTCGTGGTCGTCCCCATGGGGTTGGTCTACCGGTCGACCAGGGGGTGTCGGGGCCCGCGGAGGAATGGCTGCTGGGCTGGAAGGATCGTTGGAGAAAACGCCGCGAAAGGGATTGTTCACGGCCTGTTCCTCACGGTCCTCTTCGCGCGACCCCGGGGGTGGCACACGGTAGTCGCCGGTATAGGCGTACTCGCAGAAGGCGACGAAAGTTTCGACGTCATACTCTTCTAGGACAGCGATGTGATGCTTTGACTCGCGGGTCTCCCCACTGTTCATGAGATGGTCGAGTGGCTGGGAGACATGACGGGCGAGGCCGGACTGGATGGTAAGCTTGGTGTGGTTGGGGCCGACCAGAAAAGTAAATGGCGGTGAATGGACGATGCTGTATCCATCCAGAGCGTGGTCAGTGGCAGCACTGTGGTGGTTGGCATGAAGCAGAGATAGAAGGAAAGAAAAGAATCAAGCGCAGAAGCCGGACAAAATGGTGTGAGTCATTCGAGAGATCGCAATGGCTAGAGTCCCAATTCTGGTTATGATTGAAGGTCTGCACTCACCTACTAAAGTCCCGATCAGACTCCATTGGCGAAATCTGTTGCGTTCCTTGCGACTACAACAAGAATTGACTTGAAAGCAAAAAAGGGCCGACAGACAGACGGACTCAGAATGCGATTAATATATGCGATCCTTCAATACTCCTGACTGTCCGCCGAGCTCTCCACTCATACATGCGCCCTGGAAATTTTCCCCTCCGGGTGTCTAGTCCCTACGCCAAAGCAACTATAGGCGCAGGAGCCGACTAACTGGGTCAAGGCAGTCTGCTACGTGTGCATCGCTAACGGGTTTCGGAGTGGGTTGACCGCCAGCTTCTGCGATGCCAACCAACGGCCCGTTCAGTTCGTCTTATCGCGACCACCAGGTGATGCATGGGCGTCGCTAGCCAGAGATCAGCGTCATCGGACTGGCTAAAACTTGTAGCAATATTCCCTATCCCTGAGTGTAACATATATATCCTGCACGAGCTGCAGTAGAGGGGACTTCATAGATTGGTGATGGGAAATCGCCCGTTGATCCTCATGCCCAACCAGACGCTCGCTCTCAATGCAACAACATCTCACACGAGACAGAATCTGCTCTCCAGCGGCAATGAAACCAACCATAGGAGTCACAGGATGGCTGGGATGGTTCGCATTCCCCACTAACGAGGCCAATCCTTGCCCATGTGCGGGAGTGGGTGTTGTATTGCTGGTTCCAGTCATATTGTTGCCCGATGGGAAGCCTTTTTCATCCCAGCCTCTTAGGGACCCAACGGCGGTCAGCTCATTGGCGTAGAAGTTCAATTGCGGTGGTGGGGGTGGTTGGAGTGCATGGTCAAGTGACTATTTTTGTCTTTTCTTATTAATTGAAAGTGCTTCATAGATTCGTGTTTGCAGGTTCAATTGATCATCCTAGTGTGCTGATGAATCCAAGATTGAATGTTGAAGTTCACTTTTAAATCCTGGAAATGCGGAGCGTGCCCTAATCCGCAATCCCGGGAACTTCCTACACTCTACGGAATAAAAATATATATAATCGTGTTTCGAGTCATTCATTGAAAACGAAACGAGAAATAAAAAATTCTCTATAAAAAGGTCACAACTGTGGGACCCTCGCGGAAAATTATCCACCACGAACTGAGCTAGATAAGTACAATCAGTAAGTTAGTAGTTAGTCCCTTGCTGAAGTGACAGCTAGAGACTCCACTGACAGCACGTCGACCACGAGTACGGATAGATGAACTACTATATTATAGCTGATTAACAACTCAGAGCAAATGACTGACGATGATGATGTCCATTTAGCGTCGTGGTATTTCATCTCGGCAATATACTTTCTCCCATTGATAGTAGCAGTAGCAGTCTATGCACTCATATTTTACGTAGTAGTTAGGACTGTGATTAAGAGTGGAAAAGATTCATTGCATCCTCGTCATTCTATCATCCAAACCTCTATACTAGTATCACATAGATAATCATGGTATCTCTATACATCCAAAAAAACCCCCAATATCATACACACATACCATCCCCCCAAATCCCATTCCCCCAACCAAAAAAGAAACCAACCATCTAATGAACCAACCTAATCTCCCTACACCCCGGCTCCCACTCCCTCAACCCCTCACCGACACTATACCAAAACCTCAACTTAACACACTCCCTCCTCGCCAACTCAACATCCCCCTTATCAAACGCCTCCCCAAGAACCCTCACACACTCCTCCACCCTCCCCTGATTCTCCAACTTCAACTCATTGATCTTCTGCTCCGCAGCCGCAGCATCCTCCCCGGAATCCGTCACCTCCTCAATCGTCTCCTGCACCTCCATGACCTCCATCAACGTCTCCGCATCCAACGCATGCTTCGATGCCCCATCCTCCGCCGTGACATCTATCCCGTGCATCTCGCGCAGAAGGTACTGCGCCCGTTGCAGCGGGTCCAGCAGGGTGCGGTATGCTTCGTTGATGCGCGCTGATAGCGCCTCCGCTTGTTGCTTTTGGGGACCCTGTGGGTATTTGTCGGGGTGGATGAGGGATTGCCAGCGGAGGAATTCGCGGCGGAGGTCGGCGGTGGGGATGTCGAAGGGGGAGGATGGGGGTGGGCCGGCCGGGAGGGTTTGTTTGAAGATCGTGTAGTGGTTGGTTATGTCGGGGGTGGTGTCGGTTGTTGTGGAGGCGAGGCGGAAGGTGTTGATTGTTGGTGTTGTTGGTGATGATGGTGATGATGATAGGAGAGATGATGGATGCTGTTGGTGTAGGTAGGAAGTGTGCGGGGATGCGGGTGTGCGGGCTTGAAGAATGCCTGTGCGGGCGAGCCGCGATGCAAGGCGACTGTTTCGGAGCATTGTGTACTTTGTGCCGGTTGCTGTGAGGTGTCCTGGTTTTGTTGGACTTTGGTAGTTGTTGGAAAGATGATGCTCGGACTCGGAGATGGCGGTTGTTGATGGATTGTCGGATTTGCCTCGGATTTGTTATGGCGGTGTGTGGCAATTGCTGGCAGAATGGGGTGGCGGTTGCATGAAGGTCATGTGATTATGATGTATGATGTTCACCGCTTTCTATTTGAGATAGGAAACGATGGGATAAGTCCTGTCTCACCATGTCACACTCCATGAACATAGTGCAAAATACAAGACGATGAGGTGTTGTAAAGCTAGGTTTGATACTGGATAGCTTGGTGAAGATATATTACCGATGAACGATGTATATTCCTTGTAAATCTGGGGTGTGAATCGGATGCTACGCTACAGTGACGAATTGCCTCATCTTCACAGCTATATTTACGAAGGACTTCACAAAGAGCAATTCATGGGCAGTCATTATCACTTGATTGTTCTATATTACATGTACATCATTCAATTCCCCAGAGCTTCACCGTCCGGTCGTGTCCACAACTGGCAATCCACTGGGCATCGGCGCTGATGTCGGTGCTGAGGACATTACCCGCATGTCCACTCAACGTCTTCACCAACGACCAGTCATCCGCGCTAAAGATATTCACGTTCTTGTCAAAGCCACTGCTCACGAAGAAGGTACCTGACTTCTTAGGCTGCACAGGCGCCGGAGCTTCATCCGTTGGTGTGGCCCCATCAACGTCCATGCGGCCCTCCGCAGAGGGAAGGAATGAGTCGGCCTCCGCGCCCTTGTACCATCGGAGATCGGACACCACGCTCTTATGCGCTCCAATGCCACCGCTATTCCGAACTTGACGCAAGTCCCAGCACTTGACCCAGCCATCGCCCGAACCGGACAGCACTCGGTAACCATCCACGCCCCAATCCATGCCAAAGATCTCGCGGATATGCCCCTCCAGAATCATGACCGTGCGGCCAGTCCGGAGATCCCAAATCCGGCCGATGCTGTCCAATCCGCCACTCGCCAGGAGCGAGCCGTCATTGTTGAATGCGACTGTGTACACCTCACGGGAATGTCCTTCTTGCAACAAGAGCTCGGCCGTAGTTTCGACGTCCCACAGCCGCCAGGTGGTATCGTAAGAAGCAGAGGCAACATATCGGCCGGATGGGTGAAATTCCGTCCGGCAGACACGGCCGCTGTGGCCAGAAAGCGTCGCCAAGGGCTGATCCTTGTCTAGAGACCACAGGCGGACATTTCCTTCACCTCCTCCTGACACTAGATTCACCGTTGATTCCGACACATTCGATGTAGGCAGCGTAGCTCCGGGAAACCATGAAAGCCCACCGACCCGATCATTATGTGCCTGGAGTGACAGCTTCTCTTCAAGATTAGGCACTGTAAGCAAGCGAATGCCACCGCCCCAGTTACCGGTCGCAATAGTTTGCCCGTCGGGGGAGAATCGACAGATACTGACGGGGCGGTCGCCCGCAATCTGGGACCCGTACAGATCGAAGTTGTGTAGCTTTTCCTTGATCGCCTTTCGATGCTTGATATGCGTGCGTAGAGGTATGGTCGATTCCTCCTTCAGTCGGGCCACACGCGCCTTTGCGCGAGGTAACGAGAAACGTGCAATGTCCTTCCGGGCCTGCAAGAGCTCGTTGGTGCCCTCCGTATAGAATTCCTCCTGTTGCTCTGCCTCCTCTTCATCGCCTTCACCCATGGCCTCCATCATTTCCACATCGCCCTCTGCCGCCGCGGCTTCTTGTCGTTCTGCCAGATCGGTCAACAATTCCCGCAGTCGGTCTCTCCGATCCGCAGGGCCTTCTCCAAACAATGTAATCGGTTCGCCCAACTCGCGTAGTCGTGCGCGCACCCGGCCATCATCCGTCGGGACCGCCATGGCTGCGGCTCTTCGCTTCCTTTCAAACTGTGACAAGATGGCTGACGCTCTTTCGGCGGGAATGCCCGCTGCGGCGGAGGGGAGGTCATAATTGCGGTCGACGGCTAAACAGATTGGTGATAAGCAAAGGGTACATTGTAGATGACATGGCGACAAAGGATTTCGGTAGAGGAGCAATACTTACGGATGTTCGCCAAGTCAATGCCCATGTCTGTGTCCTGGTAACGATGTCAGAATATGCAATGTCAACAGGAACCCTCCGGCGCTAGTCTACACAAGTGCCAGGAGCAGAAACAGATAACGATGGAGAGGGTCGCTCACCTCAGCTTCCTCCACGTACGCCTGTCTCGACGGGTGCATCATGATGGGCGCAGTGGGTGGGGGATGCGCAGATACTCCGACAGTTTAGATCCGAAACGAACAGCCACGGTTGATTTGAATGGGATCGGAGATTGAAACGGTTATCCAAAAGAGATCCGTCCAGACGCGCAATAATATAGAGAAGCTGGGACCGAAGGGGGATTTGTGGTCAGGGAAGATGGAGGAGTGGAAAGACAAGCGGAGGCCGAAAAGCAACAAAACGGCGGCACTTTTGCTTTCCTTCCTTCCTTTCTCGGATTTCTTCTGGCAGCCCGAAAAAGGCGGCATCCACCATTCGATCGCAACTTCCCTCTCCTCTCTCGTGACTGTTCTTTCCTCTTTTTTTTTGTTCTATTCTGGCTGTTTGCCTTACAGGGTGACACTGGCATGCACGATGACGACCACGTTTTCAACTCTTTACTACCCAACCCAGCGGTGTGCTGAATCGGTGAGTTTAATCAAGTCCATGGTTTCACTCTGAAGCTGCTCCGCGCCCGGAGTATCTACGCTCTTTCCTCTCATCCATATGTCTCTCACCATCCCCTCTGCCTTCCTACTCAATTTCTCTTTCCTTTCTCCGATTAGGCAAGCAATCAGCAACTAATCAGCGACCAGCCCAAACAATTCGCCGATCTGCTTATCCGCAATCCCTCTTACTTCTCGATGCTCGCGGAGGCGGTCGATGACGCCAGGCGGTCGGGAGTCCCGTCGGGCCCAGCAACCTGAAATTTCCAGCTTGGATCGCCTCGTCTCTCCTCTTCGCCTGGCCTCACATAATCCCCGACTTTTTTTCCTATTTGATCAGCCGGTCATTTCTGGCCCTATCGTGACCTCTCCACTCTTTCAATTCCCCGGCGACTGTCTGGCTCGCCATTTCGCATGCTCCCCCGGTCTCCTTGCTCCATCCCGACTACTTCCTGTTCCTGCTGGCACAGACAGGATTCAAGGTGACGATCCGGTCCTTTGCTGATGATCGCACTGGCGTCTTCCGGTAGAGCCTGCAGTGCAGCCTGCAGTAGCCTACACGCCGTTGTTAGGGACGGCTTCTTGGCCTCTGTCTCGGCTCCGAAATCCTCTGGCCTCCGATACCCCCTCGTCTCCTCCCTCGCCTCAACATCTCGTTCCCCGCGATTCTCTCGCCGTGCCTTTCATTCCACGTCGCCGTTAGACTCGGCGACTCCGCGAATCTCATATCGCGTCGCCGCGTCCTCTTCCGGCAAAGGCCGCCGGTTCCATCCGGCCAAAAACACCTATAACTTCACCCCCGACCTCCACGAAGCCATTGGCGTCGCAACAGACACAGAGAACAAGGCGCTCCGGCGAAAGAGGAGGCCTGATAGTGGTGAAGATGCGTTCTTCGTGAGCAGAGTCGGCCGAAAGGACTCTGGCGCAGTAGCCTTTGGAGTCGCCGATGGCGTGGGCGGCTGGGCTGAGTCGCGCGTCGATCCAGCAGACTTCTCGCATGCGCTATGTGGCTATATGGCTCAGTCGGCCATATCCTGGGAGTCGCCCGTCGAAGAATTACGGCCAAAGAACCTTCTCCAGACCGGATACGACCAGGTCGTAGCAGATGAGACGATCCGAGCTGGAGGCAGCACCGCGTCAGTCGGCGTGGGATATCCAGACGGACGAATTGAGCTGGCCAACCTGGGTGACTCGGGCTCAGTTCTTCTTCGCCTTGCAGCCGTCCACCATTACACCGTCCCGCAAACCCACGGCTTCAATACCCCGTACCAACTCAGCATCATTCCGCCGCGCATGCGCGCTCAGGCGTCCATCTTTGGCGGCGCCTTTCTTGAGGACTTTCCGCGCGACGCGGCCGTCACCAACCTCCACATGCAACATGGAGATGTCCTCATCCTAGCTACTGACGGTGTATTCGACAACCTCAACAATCAAGACATGCTCAAGCTTGTCACGAGTCGCATGGTTCTCACGGGCGCCTGGACCGCCGATCCCGACGCGGGCATCCGTCCCTCGGAGGATCTCAAACAACTAACCAGCCCAGAGGGTCTGTCTTCTCTTCTTCCTACGCCATCCTCCTCACCATCCTCCGACCCCGACTCTCCGAAATCATCCTCCCCAAGCACGCGCCAGCAGACCTACACCCTTCAGTCCCTCATCGCCGCCACGATCGCCGGCGAGGCCAAACTGGCCAGCATGGACATGCGTCGTGACGGACCCTTCGCCAAGGAAGCCCAGCGCTATTACCCCGGTGACTGGTATCGCGGCGGGAAAGTCGACGATATCAGTGTGGTGGCAGTAGTTGCCGTGGACGAGGGATACTCAGGATGATGAGTGGTTTTTCTGCAAAAGCGAGGCTTCTCTGCCTCCAGTATAATATTTCCTTTCTTTTCTCTTACTGGACTTTTCTTTTATGAACGACTTCCATGCACATGCACATGCATGCATTTCCATGCCGATACCTATACCTACACACCTCTTCTATACCTATACTCTTTCTGCTTGGACTACGTCATTCCTATATATACCAACAGTGACACACTGTTGTACCTTTCCTTTCCTATTTCTTTCTCTGGCGGTCATCAGGTATACTTTTCTATTCCTTATTGGTCTTGGTCAGGGCAGCATTTATATTGGTAAAAAACAGGTAGAGACGGCTGAAAGCAAGATAGAACTTTATTATTATTGATAGACTTGACAAGTGAAACTTCATACCAGATACTTTTACTGGGAACTTTCAAAGAGAGTAGTAAATATACCAAGTACGAGAAGATGACATGATATAAGCCCTTAGATAGATAGATAAATAGATAAAATAACTACTCAACTCGCATCCACCACATACGGCACAAGGGGGAAAGCAAGGGAAACAACAAAACCAGGAAAGAACAGGAACAGCACGATGAGTATACAATTTCGATTCATCCTTTCGGCAAAGCTGAAAACAATAAAGAATAATAACAACAGCAGCAGCAGCAGTAGGACCTGGTAATTAAGCATCAATGATATATCCTCCCTCTTTTCAGGATTGAAATAAAGCAGAGCAGGGCGGGAAGTTTTGGGTAGGATAGATGGCTAAGTGGGTTAAGAGGTAAAATGAAGGGAAAGAGTAAGTAAGAGTCTTTTCTTCTTGCTTGTCAATCAATCAATCCCTACTCATGGAATCGGGCATACTGGGTGTGTTGGTGTTAATCATTTTGAGGCGCGGGGAGAGAGAGGGAGGGAGAAAGGGAGAGGGACTTTGGGGATATGGTTCTTCTTCACTTCCATCTGAAATAGAGAGCATCTCGTTATCCATTCCACTTATCGATTAAGAAAGATGGATATGGATGATGGATGTACAGATGGTACTCCGTAATGGCAAAAGAGACGATGGTGAGCTTTCCCATGATAAAAAATAAGGATGCTTTCAACGACGCTTGCATGTATTTGACTTTTTTCCAGCTTCGTGAATTTTGATTCCAAGAGTAGGAAGAAGAAGAAAAGGGTGATTTGGTTGGATTGGATAGTAAGAAAAGAAAAGAAAAAAAAAAAACAAGACAACGCAGAGAGGAGTCACAGCACAGAGGCCCATAAACTAAGGCAAGTAAACAAAACGCCACAATCAATGTGGGTGGTAACAACGGCAAACAACTTCCATCAGCATCACCTTTATGCTGCCGTCTCCACTGGCTTCTCTTCCGTCTTCTCATTATCAGCCTTCTCCTCTGTCTTTTCAGCATCGGCCTTTTCCTCCGTCGCCTTGCCCTCGGTTGGCTTCTCTTCGCTGGACTTCTCCGTCGTAGGTTCTTCGGTCTTGGGAGCTCCCTTCTCAGTCTCCTCCGTAGCCGACTCAGGGGCCTGTAGCTTCTCTGCTGCATCGGCATCGGGCATCGGCTCATCCTGCGGCTCCGCAGTGTCAGCCTTGCTCTCCTTGGTATCATCCTCCTTCTCGTTCTCGGTATCACCCTTAGCCGGCGTCTCAACGCTGCTCTCCTTGTGGACACCGTTGGCCTTGGGCTTATCTCCCTTCTCCTTGTCATCCGAGGGTCCGGTGGCATCCGCATCCAGCAAGTTCTTCCACTTGGACAGAATGCTCATCGCACGGGCCCGGAACTGGAATTCCTCGTCGCGAGGGATAGAGCTGAGCTTGACGATCATCTTCAAGACCTTGTTGATCTTCGTGGCACGGATAATGGAGACTTCAAGGTCCGCGTGCTTCTCAAGTTTGCCGAAAAAGTTGGACATTTGAGTCATTTCTTCCTCCTTGGGTGGCTGGTCGCGAGAAATGAATCCCTTCTGAAGCTTGTGACGGATAAAGAGAACTAGTCATCATTAGCATAACACGTTTTTAGGCCACCAGGTTGGTTCCACACATACTCTCTTTCTCCTTCTTATCCTTGGCTTCCTCCTGAGTCAACTTCTTCTCGGGCTCCTTGGATTCCGCGCGAGACTCCTCTCCATCATCACTAGCAGCAGCCTTAGCGGCCTTCTTGCTGCTTGCGGTCTGCTTGCCCTTGGAAGCAGGGGCCTTCTTTCCAGATTCGGTGGCCGGAGTCTTGGGGGTAGTCAACTTCAATTTCGTGGTGGTCTTGGGAGTCTTCGCAGGCTAGACGGGAAAAAAGTCAGCTCCACAGTGTCACCCGAATTCAGCATGACAGCTCTCTCCTACCTTCTCATCGCTCTGGGCCTCAGAGTCATTGTCCTTCTTGCGCTTCTTGGTGCTCTTGGGCTTCTTCGTCTCCTCATCAGCATCGTCCATGTCGACGTCTTCGTCATCGACCACGTCCATGCTCTTGCGCTTGTTCTTCTTGGCCTCGCGCTCTGCCTTGGCGGCGGCCTTGGCAGCTGCCTGGGCCTCCCTTTCTTCGATCTCCTGCTCCAGGGCACGCTGGTGATCTGCCAGCAGGTCCTTGAAGTGCTGAAGGTCATGGCCCTCGGCACCCACAGCATACGCAGCCAAGAGAGTTTTCGACTTGCCCTTCTCCGACACCTCCTTGCAGCCAGCAGCATCGATAGGGGTCAGATCGGTGTTGGGGATCCACGCGCTATGGTCTTCGTTAGCCAACTCGATGTCGCAAGCTTCATCCAAGCTCAATGTAGTGTTACTCACAATTCGTTCGTCTCAAAGAACATAACGGGGAAGGTCCGCTCGTGAGCGCGTTTGCCGCCATCGGCGTAGTCCTCCCTGTAGGTTCCGTCGGGGCGCTGAGCCGTCACGGGACGCGTGTTCAATAGAGTCTGAGGGAGCATTTCCTCGTCGCAGATGATGGAGGGCCATGGGGGAAAGCTCCTGAGACGCGCCAGGTAGTACTCGCCGGGCTGTGCGTTCAAATGTGTGGTACGAATCTGGGACTTCTTTCTGCTCAGCTTAGACTTGTGCTCGGGCACGGTGCCAGTCGATTTCCGCTTCGCGGCGCCAGACTTCTTAGCGGATGCGGGTGTGCCGTTGGCCTCCGATGCTGGTGCGGCTTCGGGCTCTGCAGGCGCGGCCGCACTCTCATCGGACTTCTTCGCGTCGGCAGACTCGGCGGGTGCGCTCGATTCCTCGGCCTCTGCTGGGGCGGGCTCTTTCTTCTCCTCTTCAGTGGCAGTTTCGGTCGCTATTGAGCATGGTGCGGGTAATATTAGCGAGCGCCACTAGGCAAGACCGCGACGAGAGGATAGGGCGTGGTGTTGGGGTAGCTTACCAGATGGCTTGTCCTCAGGACCATTGGTCTGCTGCTCTTCCTTCTCCTTGGAAGGCTCTTGCGCAGACTCAGCAGCAGGCTGAGCATCAGCGGGAGCGCGTTCGACGGACGACTCACCGGCGTCGGGGGCGGGCGCCGAGGCAGCAGGGGTATCCTCGGCCATGATGCGCAACCGGGAGTCGGAAATTAATCAGGAGGGGGGAATGGAAGGAGGATGCGAAGGAGAAGAGGATAGACGAAGCCTTCTGATGAGAAGAAGGTTTGGGTGGGGGGAAAGGTTCGAGGGGAAGGGTAATGCGGTGGAAGGAGGAGGAGGAGGAGAGTGAGAGAGAGTTGAGAGCGAGCGAGCGAGAGGTGGTGGTGGAGAAGGTCGCGACGCCGGGAGGCGGGAAGTCGACAACGCGTTGCACTTCTTGGGGTGGGAAAGCAAAGCGGCGCTGCGCCCAGTCCGTAAATGACGCAAACGCTTCAACGACAAAAGACAAGTTGATCAATGTCAACCACCACAACTGGTCTTGACAAAGTAACACTGGCTTTCTGGAGCTGCCCCCAATAACCCTTGTATTAGCGACTGGGCAGGAGGGGGATCCTATCACGGCAGACCGCTGTGTCGTGTCTCGGAGCGCTTGTGGCAACTGTAAGACAGAGCTTCCAATAGGGGGGGTCGTTGCTGAGAATCGTGGCGTTTCTCCCAAACGTAGAATCGATGGGTGAATCCGATCCAGTCCGCTTCAAAAGCACGGCGATACAGGGACGCCTGTGGTGATGAAAAGATGGATGATAGTGATGCTGCTAATGGGCCGTGACGCGAAAACTCCCCGGCGATTGACGATCCTCCAGCAGCCGGAAACGCGAAGTCGCTGCTGCTGCACAACAACGACACGGAGCTTTCAATAGCAGGAAAGAAAAAGCCAAGGGGCTATTCGGCAATTGGCGACAGTAGAATCGTAGTGATGAACACCCACGGATGAGCCGCAGTCTGCTCGTCTGCTTGGATCACCGAGACAGCGAATATCACGGGTCAATTCAAGAGATGTATAGGACTCAAAATAGAGTGTACACAAGTACTTGGTGTTGAGACACAACCTGTTCAGGGCTTTAGTATCTTCTTTGCATAGGACATCCACAAATCGCAGACTCACCTGGAGCTAACAACCCAGTCGCGCACCGCCGAATGCAATCACAAGTTTGAGGATGTTGAGGAACACCAGAAACCCCGCGGTCGCAAGGATCTGCAAGATTCGGACGAGGAGTTGAAGCTAGGTGAACAAGCAAGTATACCGGAGTCAAATCTCACCCGGAATCGACACTGGATCTTGGAGAGGGTAGAGTCGACGGGGGAGGAGGAAGTAGGGGTGATGGTGAGAATGCGTCTGTAGTTGTTTGGTCGGGGGGAACAAGGCAACAAAAAGGAAAGACGGATGGTGACGCCAGGAGAAAGAGTTCCCTCGCTGGCTGCCAAACCACCAGCCATCCTAAATCTATATCCCCAGTACAACACTCAACTGTCCTTTATCCCCCACTTCCGCATTGGTATTTACAGGCTTATTCCGAGATACTTGCTCGTTCCATTGACTCCGTGCGTTAAAGGGCGGGACAATGAGCCTAGTAAAGTGTTCCCCATCTACAACACCCCGTCCGGCACTTGTCGAGTCAGTCCCACGCAAGTAACACACTGACAATCAATACCTTGCAAATCCTTCTCGTCGTGTGCTACAAGCAGAATTTTAAATGATCCCATCCGCTGTTCCTTTTCTTCCCAGCCACTTGGAGGGTATCTTTCGTGTTATTCTGTTCTGACGTTCATTCATCCCATTCACCCCCACCCGCTTTCCTGCTTGATTCGTCTCTAGTTCTACTACTATATAGCAATCATCCCAATTTGTGCACGATGTTTGACTTACACAGAAACACTAAAGCCATCCAAACCCATTCATCAAGTTGAGTAGAGATAGAAATTAAATGCATTGTCTTTGATCAAAAGCAGGTCGCCATATACACAGTAGGGGGTGTTCGGAGCATATGGATGATCGAGGGAGAGTAGGCACGGACAGTAAGAATAGTACGGCCCCAACGACCGACCGGCGGTACCATCAATGTAATTAATACAGATCAAGAGTCATGACAGGTTCATAAAAACGAGGTGAGAAGCCATTTCCAGAAGGGTATCATGCACGTCCACGGTATATATGTAGGAAGACAAGCTACTCTCGAGGCAGCGCAAACTCGCTCACCAAGGAAGGGAAGTATGTTCAGGCAATCCCTCATCATCAGTCCACCCATCAGCCCCTTCGAATTCTTCCAGCGCGGTCGGCACCGGTTTATGGATACGAAGAGCCCAGAGGAAGTAGTCTTCCAGGGGAAGCAGGTTCAGCAGGATGCCGTTGAATTTCCACCCAAGAGCACACACCGTGGCACCCGCCACGGCGTCCAGAATGAAATGGTTGGCAGTCGCGACAATGGCGGCCAGGATGACAAATGGATAAGCAAAGCCCATGGCCAGGCAGACGAGTCGGCGCCATGACGGAATCTGCAGCCCGACAGGGCCAATCGCGATGCGCGAGCGCCGACGATGATGTGGCGGCAGCGGTATGGTCATGATCGTGAGACCAATCATCAGAGAGTAGCCGAAATGCAAGGAGGGCATGGCGGCTGTGGGTGTTTTGGTCAGCGGTCTCCTCACCCAAGTGGTTCCCGGAATGAATACTCACCGTACTGGTTGCAGAAGCGGTTTTCGGTCCAAACGCTGCCTGCACCGTTGACGCCATGCACCGTATCCACAAATCCATAGCTACGACCCCGAGCTGCATCAGGGCCCTGCGCGTCCTTGTCGCTCAACAGTCGAGGTGGCATGCAGGGCCACAAAGTGAAAACCACGAACGCAAGCAGATTGCACACGGCAAGTGTTCGACGACGAGCTTGATAGAGGCGCGGGCCTGCGGGCGAGCCACTCATGAATCCACGAGGCTTGCCAGGCTGCGACTCATCGTATCGGTTTCTAGTGGTCGTGTAATAGTAGAGCCAGACGAGGAAGGCAATGGTTCCCGGGATATGAATAAAGGAGTAGATCCAGTTTGTCCACATCATGAGTCTGGTGTGCCGGAGGAAGAACCGCTGGATAGGAACCTCCAAGAACAGTCCCAGCGCCTCTTCAACCTGTATCAGCTGTAGCGCATGTTTCCTCGCCACGTCGACGGTGCCTTCTTGCAGCGTAACGGCAGTAAAAGCTCGACCTAATTGGTATGTCTATGCCATATTATTAGCGTTTGCCACATAAAACCTGAAAAGCAAGTACTCGTTGTGGACTCGAGTAAAGCAAGTGTAGGGAACACAGGGTTTCGAAAATCATACCCAGTACACTAACGCCCAGTACCAGCATTCGACTAAGAAAGGGAACTTGCGTAGGAGGCGACTAAGCAGGCGATCTTGGAAGACAATGGTGTTCGGAGAGGTGACCTCCCAGGTCGACGAAAAGATCCCCAGCTGCCTCTTGCGCCACCGACTCTGGCCATCTTGTAGGAGTGCCGATTCAGAGGAGGACAAGCGACGAGACAACAGGCCGTCCTTTGCGGTTGGTGTGGACAGTCCGGACTCTGTCGCATCAGGAGAGCTGCCACGTGAAGGGATGCTGGATCTGCGGCGGGTTCTGCGTGCAGGGAACGATCCTGTTGTTCGGTTGATCCAGGTACCTCCAAAGAGAAGGACGATGACCGTCAGAGGCTCGAGGAACGCTCCAACTCCCATGATGGTGTGACCTCCTCGGGGTGGAAATTAGATGCGCTAAACCGGGGAGGAGGTGGGAATAGTCGACTGTATGGAAAGGGAAAGAAAATCAAGGGTGAGGATTAAGACTAATGAAGTACAAAAGACCAAGCAGCTCCAAGATTCCAAGCTGGAATGCTGCGGGGCAAGCTATAAAGAGTGAAGCACAGAGACACAAGGCTTGGAGAACACCGAGAGCATCGTCAGGTTAGCAAAGCCAACCAGACAACAACAAACCGGTAGGAAGGAAGGGCGGGCTGAATTATCCCGCCTAATAGCTTGAATTAGTAGCAGTAGCGTGAGGTATTGCTCTCTGAGATGGGCAGCAGTGGGGGGCGGCACTTATGTACCTTACGCAGTGCAACCTAGTAGCAGATGGTACTAGTAGGAACTTGCTTGCGTCTTTGGGGGGGGTGTGGGTATTAGTAGATAATCATTAGTTGATTAGTTTTGAATTAGTTAGGTAGGTAGAGTGAGTAAGTGAGTAGTAGTACGTAGGTACTAGGTAGGTACTACAGGGAGAGAGGGAGGGAGGAAGAGAGAGAGGGTCTCAGCCCAGCCTGCTTGGCTGTAGAAATACTAATCAAGTACCAAAAAAGCAGCAGGCATGTAACAAGTCCGAACCACCGACCCTGAGTGGGCAGCAAAAAAAAAAAAAATAATAATAAAGGATCGCTCCTCACTGGATTGGATGACATGGCTCTCCAAGTGGGTTTCACCGTTTCTTCGGTGTCTGACTTGGTTGTGTTTGGCCAAATTAGGCCCCGTTAGCATCGCATTTCCATGTCGTGATAATTAACACATTGCTGGAGATCGGGCCAGCAAACCAAGGAACCACCAGCACTACTTGGCTCAGGAAGAACGCCATCATCGGAGCTTCCGGATGCCGAATAAAACAAAGCCATCCGTTTGGGGGAGGGGGGAAAGGAGATTGAAACTCTGGAAAGGGACGGCAGAAAGGGTCAAACATCCGCGTTCCAGTAATCATACCAATTAAATCTGACCTCCTATTTTGGACCTGGATGCTACTTTCACCCTGTTAGAATGTCTATTAGTAACTTATTGGGGGGGAAAATATGGGTGAAGTCACAAAGAAAATTGCTTTGTCGGGGTCTACCCAATTAGGCCCATTAAGGTTTGTCAAAAAGGTCGAGGAAGATCCACGAACATGGGTCCTTGCTCCCACTTGCTGGGCCTTACTACTCTGTACTGGCGGTGACAGCAAAAAAGGTGACCTGCTAATACGGAGTAAGTATTTCACGGTTCAATGGTAAGGATAATTACCAGATTCGATCAGTCCGTCTCTCGGCCACTGCAGGGATTTTGCCGTCGCGACCAGATGATCCTCGTCACGACTAGTATTGTTACCACGATTATGTTCCCAGTCAGACTAGCTGGAGCTATTTCCATTGGCTGAAAACCCAATGTCAGCCGCATCCACTTCCCAGTTTGGTAATTACCTACCTACATCATGCTCGCAAGCTAGTAAGCTTACGGAAAGACGTCACATGAGTCAGCGGAATGTTGGCCAGGATGGGCAGGAAAGCACGCTGCACAAAAGACGGCACGAGAAAGTTTGCCGATAAATGGACGACGAAGGAGATGAAAATACTGAATTATCAATTCTTTCAATCTATGTTGCCTATCTGTGAAGTACTCAGGTTACTTTGAATATATGTACTTACTCCCCTCCTGACAAAGCCTAGTAGAGCCTTTTACGTATACGATCCCGAATACGATACGACGTAAATACTGGCCCTACAG